TGTGTGTGTGTATATCATGGGGGCCCCTAAGTGTGTGTGTGGGGGGGTGTCAAAGGGGCCCTGTGTGTGTGTGTGTGTGTGTGTGTGTGTGTGTAAAATCCCTCTTTCTGAGAGAGGGCAACCCTAAGTGTGTGTGTATATCATGGGGCCCCTAAGTGTGTGTGTGGGGGATCAAAGGTGCCCTAAGTGTGCGTGTGGGGGGGTGTCAAAGGGGCCCTGTGTGTGTATGTGTGTGCAATCCCTCTTTCTAAGGGAGAGGCCCTAAGTGTGTGTGTGTATATCATGGGGGGGGGGCTAAGTGTGTGTGTGTGTGCGGGGGAATCAAAGGGCCCTCTGTGAGTGTGTGTGTGCAATCCCTCTTTCTAAGGGAGGGCAGCCCTAAGTGTGTGGGGGGGATCAAAGGGCCCCTAAGTGTGTGTGTGTGTGTGTACGTGTGTAACCCCCTCTTTCTAAGGGAGGGCAGCCTATCCAGGGGTCTCCACTCAACATGGGGACAGGTGACCCTTCTCTCCCCACCAAGGAGAAATCATGCAGGGGGAGTTGGAAGGAACATCCTCGGGTGAAGAGAGCAGGGACAGACCCCACAACAGGTCGGGAAGGGGCCTTAGAGGTCCTCTAGCCCAACCCCCTTGCTCCAGCAGGAGACCCCACCCCATCCCACCCTGTGGGGAAGGGGGAGCCCTGGGCTTTAATTCTTTCACCCCCACTCCGCTCCGCTTCCAGAGGGGAGGCGGGGGGGGGGGGCAAGGGGGAGCGGCAAAGCGCGCGGGGGCGGTAGGAAAGGAGGCCACGCGGCGAAGCCCACCTTCAGGGCGTTCTCGTAGATGGTGGCGCGGAACTCGAGCAGCGCCTTCTGGTCGAACTCGCGGCCGTGGATGATGCGCATCTGCTTGAGGAAGGTCGACTTGCCGCTCTCGCCGGCGCCCAGCAGCAGGATCCGCACCAGGCGGCGCACGGCGCGGCGCTCGCGGGCCAGCAGCGCGTCGATCTCGCGGCTCCGCCGGCGCGCCTCCCGCTCCAGCTCCCGGCGGCGGAGAGAAACAGGCGGCGGCGGCGGCGAGGACGGCGGCGGCGACCGGGGAAGGCCGCTTTCCTTGCTCGGCTCCACAGGCCCGGCCGCCGCCTCGGCCCCGGGGTCGCCGCCCGCCGGCCACAGGCAGCGGCCAAGGGAGCGCACCACCCCGGCCATGGAGGAGGAGGCGGCGGCGGCGGCGAAGCCCTCAGACAGGCCCGGGCGGGAAAGACGCCGCCTCAGCCGCCTCAGCCGCCGCGACCTTCCCTCCGTCCTCGCCCTCACGCCCACCCGAAGGGGCGGGGCCAAGACGCCGCCTCGGGCGAGGCCCAGGCGGCGCTCGCGCCCCGACACGGACGCCGATTGGGCGGCGAGGCCCGGAGGCGAGGAAAGCTCCACAGAGGGGCGGGGCGGAGCTTGCCCGGGGACCAGTCAGCGGGCCAGAGGGGCGGGAGGAACGCTCGCTTTCCCCCACCCACTTCAACCCTACCCCCCCCCCCGCCGACCCCCGCGCGCGGGACGGGAAGACAGACAGAGAGAGCGGAGGGGCGGGGTTTTCCCAGGGTCAGGGCGGAGCGGGGGGAGGGAGCCGGCGCTGATTGGGCGCCAGGGGAAAGGAGGGGGGGTCCGTGACGTCACCCGGGCGAGAAGGTTATGAATGGAGAAGGGGTGTCTTAATAGGCTGTCTGGCCCATCGTCTTTTAGGAGTTATGGGATTTGGAGTCCGGCGCTCTTCACCTGCATCGCGGTGTATAGGTTCTCCTGCTTGAGCAGGGGGGCTGGACTAGAGGACCTCCAAGGCCCCTTCCAGCTCTACTTTAGTCTTTATTCCTATTCTATCTAATCGGGGTTTAAAAGGTTAAAAGTCGTATAATATACCTGGTGTGTTTTATTTATTTTATTTTACTTAATTTGTTGCATTTATTGTATTTAATGCATTCATTTATTTTTATTTTATTTTTTTTATTCTTTGAGAGAATTATGCAATGAAATTTCATCTTAATGTGTGGCCGATTAACATATATTCAACGTGACAATAAAGTTAAAAAAGTTACTCTAAGTTATTCCATTCTGATGTTCGGGTCAACGAGTTGTGTGAATGCATGCACGGCATTTGGGTGCAAAAGGTTGCAAAGTTTTCTACCTCCCGAGACAGCTCCCTTCTAAAGTTCCCTTACCTGCCCTGGGCCTTCTTAGGGGTGTCTGTGGAAATTCTCGGTCATCCAAGGATGTCCCAAAGGTACTTTTTTCCCCCTACTGGACTTTCTGTTTTTTCTCTCTGAAGACATTTCGCTTCTGATCCAAGAAGCTTCTTTGGCTCTGACTGGATCCTTCCCTCCATCACCCAGAGTCAGAGCTGAAGAAGCTTCTTGGAAGAGAAGAGAAACGTCTTCAAAGAAAAAGAAAAACAAAAACAGAAAGCCCAGTTGCTTCTTGAAAAAAAGAGCACCTTGGAGGCTTCTTAGAGGTCTTTCTCTCTTAGCAAACCACGTAGGCAGTCATTTAAATTTTGGAACCATCTTGTCCTCCCCCATCCCGACCAATGGCCCCCCATCTCCCTTTCTGTCTCCCCCCATCTAGTGCCCTGTGGCCCATCATCTCCAAAAGCTCAAAAAAACAGGGCAAAATGCACAAAACTCAGCCTGTCCTTTCCTTTCTAGAGTTTATGCGGCGCCCAATATTTCCCCGAAGAAAAACATTCCTTCTGGAGGCCTTTGCTAGCTCACCCACCAGATGTCACCAGACCTCCATCCAGACAACGGGGTTAAACCTTTTGTGAGAAAACATTTCAGTTGTAAACCCAAGCAATCCTAGTTATTGGATATTATTTTACTCCTCCTTCAGGGCTCTTCTTTTTAATGGGGTTTTTGGCCTAAATTGTGGTTAAAAAGGTACATAGGATACTAGTGGTTAAAAGCCTAAAGTTGAATCTAGAAGTATGTCTTGGGTAGAAGATCCTTCAAATTCTGATTTGTCTGAAAGCAGCGGAGACAAGACTGTGGTTGTGTTAGTACGTGTGACAGTGTACACATCTGAAACCACGATGCGTAAACCACAACAGCCAGGCATTCCTATAATCCAACCCCAAGTGAATTATGGTGAATTCTGTGATCTATCTGTGAATCCATCTCTTTCTGCATAATGCAGCAAAGCTGAAGTCCCTTTTATTTGGTTTACATACCACTCGGGGCAGTTTACAAATGGTTAACCACAGAGAAGCAAAAAGAGAACGGAACAAAGTTGGCACAGATAATAAACCGAGAAAGGCCCCTGGGAACGGATCCATTTTGGCACAGAAATTTCCAAATTTCTGCTTAAAATTCTGCCACGATGCACCCCGCTGCCAATTCAGCTTTGCAATCCAAAACTGAGGCCGTCAGGAAGAGTTAGTGGGAAGATCCCACAAAGGGGAAAACAGCTCCAGTTTCCATCGCTAACCATACTGCCCTTCATCCTAGTGCATTTTGCTTAACACTGCTATCCACAAGGAGCCAGACAAACCTAACAGGATTCTTAACCAGCATGGCTCTGAATGGGGCCCTTCTAAAGACAGGCCAACTTTGGTGGCCACTGAGCCGTCCCCTGTTTTGTTCTCGTTGCAGAAGGGAAGATTTGAAGGGAAGAAAAGTATGTTTTGCGAAGTTAATACGTTTTGGATCATTGTGTTCTTATTATAGCCGAGCCAATCAAACCTCCGTCTTCCCTTTCTTCTTTTTGAAGTGTGCATTTTTCAAAAGGCAGAAGGAGAAGACCTCTGATCAATATTAATATAATAAGAAAAAGATGGCTCAAAATATGCTTAGCCGTATGACAGATCACATTTCATGTTATTTCATAGCCAGGCTGGAAAGGGGGAGGATTAAAAAAAAAGAGAGAGAATAAATCACATCAGGAGATATGGAACTGCAGCGGTTTGGGAAATGACTGCAGGGAATATATATTAAAAAAGGCATCCTGTCGTCCCTTTTTGGGGGGACAAGAAGAAACTTAAATTAAAAAAGAACAAACTCCTAGGTTTTACTAATTGAAACATTTAAAGGGCTAACAGAAATAAGGGGCCCGTATGATTAAAGGCATTTAACATTAATGGTTTGTCTGACTTTTCTGATTGATTAGGGTGCTGGATTTTCCCCCTGCTTATTTTCCTGCTAGCATTTAAAAGCAGCCAGTAAAGATACAGATACAAATTAATAGAGTTGGAAGGGACCTTGTAGGTCATCTAGTCCAACCCCGCCACCCAAGCAGGAAACTCTACACCATCCTCATCTTAAATCAGAATGAGTGTATAGCATTACAGGTGGTCCTGGATTTCCAACTATTTGCTTCGCAACCGTGCGGAGTTAACAGCAGCCGTGAAAAAAAAGTGCCCTGTGACTGTTTTTCACACTTAGGACCGTTCCCACGGTCAGGTGATCAAAATTCGGGCACTTGGCAACTGGCATGTACTTATGATGGTTGCATTGTCCTGGGGCCCCCTTTTTGTGACCTTCCCAGCTGGCTTCTGACAAGGAGAGAGACCGGGTTCACTTAACGGCCACCTGATTCGCTTAACAACTGTGGCAAAAAAGCCGTAAACTCAGGTGCAACTCATTTAACAAGAAGAATTCCTTGTACAAGCTTGTAACTAAAGCCTGGGTTATTTGAACAATGCTCTCTGTCCTGCCCCTGGTGGAGGCTGAGGGAGAGGAGGAACAGCCAACAGGGAGTAGGAGTGTGGCTCCAGCTCATAACTGACCCTTGTTGTTGCTTACTACATGTCCCTCTCTTGGTCAATAAAACTGCTCTACAATCCCCCACCACCGTCCGCAGATAACTATACCGAGCAGTCTAGGCAGAAGATCTTAAGACAGCTTTGTGGGCCTGTTAAACCAGCTTTTCTAATCTGTGTTTAAAAGATTAGGAGGGATTACCTAATCAAATTTAAGCACATTTCGTTTACACGGATTTCCCCAGACCGAAATGGGCTGTTAATTTTCCCAAAAGGACCAAGGAGATTTTAACATGCTTACCTCTCAGGTGAGACACACACCCCCCGCCAGGGATTACGCTCGAGATGTAGTCAGTTAGTCCCCAGCCTGGCACCGCTCGGATTTATTTACTCCATGTTCAACGGCTTGGAAATTTGGGGAAAGCGGTTTTCTGCCTTATCTGGAAAGCGACAGATTGGGGAATGCTGGCATCAGCAGTTTAAAGTGGTAGGTTTTTGTTTTTCTCGCAACTCTCCGTCCCCCTTGACAAAATGAATGCTGATTTACCCTGGCCCCGCCGATTCAATTAAAACATCGATATACTCCTTATGTAATTTCCCAGCCTAAATTCAACTAATTGGTGTGTATGTTGTTGTTCAACTTTGCGTAAAGCTTGCCTGCTCCCGCTAGAACCAAGTCAGCCTATTTCTGTTTTTTTGTTTGTATCAAGAGAGTCGCATTTTATTCTCATTTGCCTGCCCGCCTCCGTCTTTTCTTCCTCTAAGGGCAGATCTATTATGAAGACTAAAATAAGAGTGCTAGCGCTCTTTTGTCAACGAATATTTACCCGTGCCATAATTCCTGGGTTTGATTTGGAGGCGGCGGCTGGGTTTCTTAATGCACAGTCTTCACTACTTTGGAGTGTGTGGGGGTTTAGTAATTGATTTATTATTTTATTTAGGAAATAAAGGTTGGCAGAAGCTGGGACGAGGAACGGGAGCTCACTCCGTGACGTGGTGCTAGGGATTCGAACCGCCAAACTCCCCACCTTTCTGATCAACAAGCTCAGCGTCTTAGCCACTGTGCCACCGCGTCCCTCTTACAGAATATAAAACCTAATTCTGGAGAGACACTGAACGTATTTTTCAGTTTAGTGCAGGGTTTTTTCCCATTGGTCTTTTTAAAAGAAGGGGCCTCCGGCAGAACACCCAGGGCACGAGAAAGGAACACAGTTAGAACATTAACTTGCCAGGATCGACGGTTCTTAACCCGTCGCCACGTGTCTGTTCTGACCCGAACCTTGTTCCAAGGAAACAAACATGAAATGGAGGTAACAGCAAAACCTTTTAATGATTCTTTACAAATTCCGTTCCTTCTCGGTTAAAAGGCTGTTTCAAATTAATTATCCCTGATAAGAACGAGCCTTGCCAAGGTTGTGCAAGGCTGCCAAGAACACTAGATAAAGTTGCCAAGAAATAGTTCAAACACAAAGAGTCTCCAAACATCAACCAAGATACTCCGAACATCCACAAGGCTTGAGTGCAAAAACGTCTTTGCTTCCTGCAAAGAACTCC